CCAGGACTTGTCCAGAGCTTCCCCCATCCTCTGGAACTCTCTACCCCAATTTATCAGACTATTGCCTACTCTGCTCACTTTTAGACGATCTCTGAAAACCTCTCTCTTCAGGAAGCCTATCCTGCCCTCAGCTAATACTGGAATCTTCTACTCTTCCAACCAGTGCATCCCCCACAGTTACTACCTTTTGTACCACTAGCCCCTCCCTCCTAGATTGTAAGCTCCAAGGAGCAGGGCCCTCCTTTCCCTCTTGTATTGAACTGTATTGTTACTGTATTGTTGCCGTATTGTCTCCAGTTATATTGTAAAGCTCTGAGCAAACTGTTGGCGCTATATAAATCCTGTATAATAATAATAATAACTGAACGACGGAACTGGAAAGAAACACAAGCTGCAAAATAACAAGAACAGGGGGGAAACCAGCTGTTCTAGAAGACTACTGGAAAGATTGTTACCAGTAAGACTAACTCTGGTTTTTCCCCAGTCGTGTCAAGGACAGCTAATGAGATAAGCAAATGCTTTGTCTAGACTTTCCACCTTTGTGAAGCATTACCACCCGCCTTTGTTATCAAGCCAGGAATTAAGTAGCTGCCTTGCAGATTTGTTCTGGAGCAGCCCCAGGTCTTTTTGCCCAAGAGGTTGCCTAAGTTCTGGTGCAATGAGAATTCACAAAAGGTGGAAGAATCTGTATACCTTGATAGGCTTTGGAAATGACCTGCCTGATCCACCTGGCTACAGAAGCTTTGTAGGCTTGCTTACCTTTGTGATTTCCTGAAAAGAGTAGAAACAGAGCTTCTGACTTTCTGAAGCCCTTTATAATGTCCAAATAAGCTAAAAGACATCTTCTGACATCCAGCAAACTGAAAGCTTTTTCTCTGTCTCCTGCTGGATTGTTGCAAAAAGTAGGCAGTACAATGTCTTGAGTTCTATGAAAGGAAGATACCATAGGCAAAAAAACCTGCATCCATCTTGGGAACAATGCAGTAATCAAAACCAGAAAGAAAGGGCTCTCAGAGTGCCTGCAGCTCTCTAATTCTTTGAGCTGAAGAAATAGCAATCAAAAATAGTTTTCAATCTCAGTGACTTAAAAGGTATGCTCCAAAGGTTCAAGAGTGGGAGCAATGCCCCAAAACACCAAATTTAGATCCCAGGTGGGACAAGTTCTTGAAACCACTGGCCTAATTCTGGGAAAATGCTTTGAAGAATCTAGAAATCAAGGGATCCTCTAGCAAAGACCTTTATAGAAAAACATGAAGAGCTGAAGCTTGAACTTTTAAAGTGCAAAGAGCTAACCCTTGGTCTGCACCATCCTGGAAAAATTCCAAATAAGTTGGATTGTTAAAAAATGACTCGATGTTCCGACATCCATCTATTCAAATATTTAAAAAAAAAAATAAATTAAAAAAAAAAATAAAAAAAAAAAATATATATATATATATATATATATATATATATATATATATATATATATATATATATATATATATATAATAGCCCTCGTGAATGGCTTGCAGCTGTTCAATACAGTACTAACTACTCTATCCCAAAAAATTCCCTTGCCTTTAAAAGCAGTTCTTCAGAAACCACACCGGAAGCTTCAGAATGGAAATTCTGAGATGAAGAACTGGGCCCTCAGGTCTGGAATCTGGCAAGATTAACGAAGGAGTTGAGGATAAAGACTTAAGAAAGGAAAACCTATGCCTCTTGGGCCAAAGTGGAGAAAGATCAGGTTGGTTTTCTTCTGGGAAAACTTTTGTAGAACTTCCAGCAGGAGTTTGAATGGAGGAAAAGCGTAGCAGATGCTGAATGACTACAGCATTCACTGCTTCTGCTGAGTCCCTTAAATTCAGATATAAAAAACAAACTTTCCACTTTCCTTGGCCCCAGCTCTTTCCCTCATCCATGTGTTCTTTGGCCACATAAAAAGAAAATACTCTTATTCTTCATCAGTCTCCTCTCAAGAAAGGCTCAAGAGCTGCCTGAAGCTCAGGCCCAAAGACCTGGTCTCCAGAAAAAGGAAGGCCACACAACCGCATTTAGGAGGAAGAATCTTCAGATCAGCTTTTAAGCCAAAAAGAACCCCTGGCTAAATTAAAGCGCAAGACCTGCCAGAAATCTTTACTGACTTGGGGCCTGGCTAAATTAAAGCTTTAAGACCTGCCAGGAAAAGACTCAAATACTGCTTCGGGCAGTGGCAGTAAAGCTGCCAGGTAAAAACATAGGAAAAAACTCAACATTTCTGGCTCCACTCGGTAGTACCTAAAGCAGCCAGGTGAGACTAGTAGATGTAGAATCCCAACTCAACATTTACTGGCCCATACACATAGCAGGCTTTAAAGCAGACCTGGAAAAGAAGAAAAAAAAAAAAAAGCAAAGGTCATTTTTTCAGAGAAGAACTGGATCATCACACAATCTTCTCTTCAAACTGTTAAAGAAGAATAGTTTATTTGCTGGCTCTGCCCTCTGCTGTAAAACAGCATCCGTCAGGGTCTTGGGTACAGGAAAACCTCTAGATCTCTTCTTATGTCAACCATATTTAAATGTCATATTCCAACAGAGCTGCAAATTTTCTTCTTCAATCTTCAGTCTTAAATAGCTTTTAGCAAATAGTCAACATCTTCTAGCGATAACTTGTATCTGGATACCAAGAAGACTCCTCTTCATTTCAGGACTCAGCCTCACTAGCTGACCCAGCAAGAGAAGAAGAAAAAAATGCTCCTGATGCCTCATTTAACACCTCGCCAAGCAGAGCTTCAACAACTTTAGGTAATGCTACCGAGGGTTTAGGCACTAAAGTAGGCTGACAAGGAGCAACAGAAGGGGTATTCAAGTCCATGAGCAGAGACCTGAAGGCATGAAAAGTGGACACCAATTCTTCTTTGACTAAAGATACTAAATTGCTAAAGGGCCATTGCAGATTTCTCTTTCAGTAGGCTGCAAATACATGCAGGGCATAAAGGTTTGCTCCAGGAGAATCCCAGCTTAATCCCACAGACTGCACACTTCTTCAAGCAAGCCAATCCTGGTTTGTCCAGAGCCTTGGCCTCAAAGAGCAAATGAGAAAGTCTCTGACCGGGCCCCCCAAAGTATCCTACACAGTGTTCCATGTCAGAAACTACACTGCTTAGTCTGCTTAAGCCCATCACCAAGGAACCCCAGATGACCCAGTACACAGGTAACACACAGAAAGCTAGCAGGTACCATACACCTCGATTACCTCTGAAGAGAGGACAGTGGAGGAGCGTGCATCTGCTAAAGCCTGAGAAGGAGAGGAAGGGTCCATGAAAATCTTCTGAAGTGTCACAGCCACAGCCTCTGCTGGGAACTTCTGATGCTGTGAACCAGCCGCCCTAAATAGTACCGCTGGCTGAGCTGCTTAGAGACCCAGAACCACAGTCTTCGACACTCTGCAAGGATGTCACCTGACCCAGAAATGACAACCTGTGTTTTCCAATCAACCAGCCTGGAATACAGAAGCTCCACCCACACACCTCCTCCTTCGTACATTGGCAGCGCCATTATTGCACATATCAACAAAGGGAGCTGGCAAGTGGGAGATCCCTTGCAGATAACAACCTTCACCAAGCTCTGAAGGCAATAAGACCACAGCCGCCACCTACCCGTAATGAGGGGGCATTGTGGAGGGCACAGCAACATCCACAGACAGCCCAGAGACTAGGACTCCTCACCACCGGTTCCACTAGCAACATATCTCCTCTGTCTGGAGGAAACACTAAAACTGAGAAGACCTGAGGGGAGTCCACTTCCATGTGGCTCTTTTCAGGCAGGTAAGCAGGTGAAACTTCATCAACAATGTATTGCAGTCCTCAAAAGTGGATGATGTTAGCACTTTGTCCCACAGTATTTACATTATCTGTGGAAAATTGATCGGGAACGGGGAATCAAGGCCTACTCTGTAAGTACGTTTTCAGAAACAGGGCAAGTGATGAGGCAAAGTTAAAGACTCTGGACTCAACTTTTACTCGAATGGAGTCTGCTCAACATGGGATCAGGGTCTGGAAAGCCACTTAAAGCTATTTCCCCCTTCCATATCCAGTCCAGTGCAGACCAGATGCCAGTGTGGGGAAGACAACACTGAAAAGTTATAAAAATTTAAATCCTCCTGTGCTGCCAGTGACTACCCTCTAAGTACGAGTTGCAGCAAGCACCTAATATGTTCCCACAAATCAATCAGTGAAAAATGCAGAATGAGTAGATGCTGCGCTACTCCAGGATAACATTTTTTTTTTAAACACCCGACAGAGCACCTGCCAAATCAAACTAATAATTGTAACAAATAATCACAAATACATGATCTGCAGTGAAAATAGTAATAAATTCCCTCAATTGGATAACGTATAAATTGAAAAATATATGAACACCCGGCTGAGCTACTACCTTCACAATGTATAAGGTTAGTGAATAAATCAAAAATAATAAATAGAGACTGTAAACCCTCGGCAAAGTCAACCCCCCAAATAATATTGTGCATATATTACAACAATTAAAATAGTGCTTAATGTGACAAAAAAAAATTACGCGAAAGTTAGTAAACAAAACAGTTCTCCTCCCCGTCGGAGATACTAGGAAATAACCGGCGCCGCTAAGTAATCACCGGCCGGGACCCGGTGATTAACAGCCGCGAATGGCGGCGCAGGTAGGGGGTACCCCCCTACAATGCAAAATCATATATATATATATATATATATATATATATATATATATATATATATATACATACATACATACATACACATATATATACATACACACACACACACAATTTTGCGCTCTCGTGCCACCCTGTAGCAGTATTTCTGTTATAGGGCAGTTAAAAGCTTCAACAAAGCTTGCTGAAAGCTCTGCAAATGTTTGGTCAAGGCTTGCTGTTCACACTACTTATAAAGCTGAAACTCATGTAAAATGGGCCTGTGTCCCTCAATGGGTGAGAACGGAATACCATATTCAAATAAATATGCAACCTGCTAAAAAACACATACCTGAGCCACACAGTTGGGACAAAACCAATCTCCTTCTGGAATCCCTGTCATTAGAGGCCGATGGCAGTAAGTATGACAGCCACGGTCACAGCTGTCACAAAGCAACAAACAATCATCGTTGTCTCCCTTCCGACAATATATGCAAGTCTGTAACAATGGGAGGACACAATGTTAAACTACGGTACTTGTCTAAGAATTTGTATTTCTGGCAATCTGGACTGGAGATTTAAAACAGCTCTATCACATCACTTTACTGCCTGGCAGGAGGCTTGATTTTGTTCTGATGCAATTTAAAGTATATGTAAACCCTCACCATGTAAAACAACCCATTCATTTTATTTACAATAGAAATGAAACGCAAAACATTTATGTATACATATGAAAAACATTATAAATAATATCTTTTTCCTCTTTTTTTTTTTATAAGTGATCACATACCCTTTGTGCTGCACATGTAGCTGGAGGAGGAGAAACTACAGTACATTAAACTTCCCAGTGTGCAGGGGTGGGAGTGGGGGGTATGTCAGCAAAAGCCTGATCATTGAATTAGTTCCCAGCACAGCCAGAACATTGACCATGCTGTGCTCTCATGCCTATTTTGGTCAGTTTTTAATAGCAAAGCAGAGGGACTGGCAGGAGCACTAGGGATTTCACACAAAAGCAGCAACACAAAGAAAACCGGACACTTTTTTCAAGTACATGGTACAGCAGGAACATAACAGGAATATGAAATGTTGGGCTTACATATTCTTTAACCACTTGCTAACCGCACTATAGCTGAATGATGGCTACAGCACGGTTGTCCAGTTCTGGGAAGGAGTCATATGACATCCTTCCAGAACGCGTCCTCCCACGCGCCCGGCGATCTCCTATGGACACAGCTGATTACATGATGAGGTAAAAGGTCAATCACAGCGGCATTTTACCATGTAATCAGCTGTGTCCAATGACACAGCAGGTCACGGAGTAAATACAGTTGCCGGTTATCGGCAGCACTTTGCTCACACTGTCACAGCGTGAGGAAAGTACTGCCGATAACCGGCGGCTGTCACACAGCAGAGCCCTGCAGTGCCACCCATCAGTGCTGCAAGTCAGTGACTATCATTGCTGCATATCAGTGCAGGATCATCAGTGCCTCCTCAATGCCCACCAGTGCAGCCTCATCAGTGCCACCTCATCATTGCAGCCTATCAGTGCAGCCCCATCAATGCACATCAGTGAAGGAGAAAAATTACCTATTTGCAAAATGTTATAATAGAAACAAAGAAAAAAAAAATTTTCCCACATTTTTTGCTTTTTTTTGTTTATAGTGCAAAAAATAAAAACACCCAGTAGTGAATAAATACCACCAAAAAGAGAGCTCCATTTGTGTGAAAAAAAATTATTGAAATTTCATATTGGTACAGTGCAACAACGCTGAAAGCTGAAAATTGGCTGGGCACGAAGGGGGTAAAAGTGCCGGTAGTCAAGTGGTTAAGTAAAACTTACAGTACAGGTCTTTTCCCTCCCCTAGGCTGTGACTGGACAGTGAAAGGAGAAGCAAAAGATTGATGAGCTCATCCATTATTCTGAGATCTCCTATATGCATCTCCCTTATTAGCACATGAGCGCTGTGGCACAACGGATAAGCTCCTTGTGCCGGTTCTCTCACTCTCCCAGTCAGAGCTTTGCTGCACAGGAGATAGCAAGAGGCTGATACCCATTGAAAATCAGGTCTTTTTTCTTCTTATATTTCAAAAATAAACCTATTACTCTATTAATGAAAGCAGAACAGAAAAAAATGTGTGCCTTTCATGTCTGCCTGGAGTTCAGCTTTAAAAAATATAGTTTAAAGTTCCAGTTTCACCTAACAAAAATTTTGTTTAAGAAATGCTATGATGACTAACAAAGTACTTACCACTATACTAACTGATCGTTCCCATGCCAGGGACTTTTCCAGCTGCTGTAGGCACAGATGTAGCTGAGCAGAACTTCTGCACCGTTCCACTGTCTGTCGCCACAAACGCATACGAGAAGTAATACTGTACTGACTTTAAAGAAAAAACAAAAAAAAAAAAAGACATAGGTTGCGTTAGTTTCTGCTTACATATATTTCAAATAAAATACATGGCGAGTTAAATAAAGGATTATGCCCTTACTTCTCAGTGGTAATCATTGTCTCTGGGTCAGTAGTTACAATCTTCTCATGCTGCACCTCACTCAGTATCCACAGCGGTTCCTTCAGGTATCTCCTTTCCACATTCTGTTCCATATCTATAAGCCGCAGCACAGCTAAGTCCAAAGGGTTGTCTGGCTCCCTATGCAACCACACCTCTTCTCTCTTAACTTTGGCCAAGATATCATCTGATGCGTCCACCTTGTGCTCAAAGTACTTCAGGTCACTTCGGATCGAGTCTAAGCTTAGAGGAGACCAGCCCTAAAAATAGAACAACATTCACAGTTTTCCAAATTCCTATGTAAATAAGATTTAAAAAGTTCAGAATTAAACCCACTGATTTAGCCATTACACAAAAAAGTTACATCCAAGGCATGCCTCAAATGACACCTGTTACAGTTGCAAGTGTGCTTATGGTATCTCTCAACCAAAACTATCAAATGGTCAGTGTCATAGCTAAATCACATGTGCAAAAATCACATGGCCTTGAACAATTACATTTCAAAATTAGAGAGCCCAAGAATGTAACAAGCAAAGATAGCAGAATGTGGAAAACTCCTCAAGTTTACCGCTTCATTTCTTGTGTCATTTTAATGGCTTGACAACCATTTCCGAAAGGATAAAACCCACAACACACACAAAGCAGAAACACCCACATTTTTGCCACAGGTCATCTAACTGAAAAGGCTTAGTAGAAGTTGTAGCCCAGTCAGTAGGGTTAATCATGCTGCAGACTTGAAGGTTCACAAATTAAAACTTCTGTGGCAATCTTTAAGAAAACTGCTAGTCTTTATCTTCCCAAGCATCAAAAGTTTACATTACACATTTACAGACTGCAGAGGCTGTAGCAGTAATGCTGGCCATACATCAAAATTCAGCTGGTCACTACTGAAGGACTGTGTGGTTCTTCCTGTTTGATAGATATAGTTGATATCAGAATGACTACGAACAGATGGGTTGGAAAACTTTTCTCAATCAACGGCTGCAGCTGCTGTCAGAATACAATGGCCTGGTGATAAGAGGGGAAATTCCTCCATCCACCTTGCTTGTGTGGAGGAAAGAATCTGTTTTTTTTCGCTGACTGAACAACATAATGTACTGTAAGAAAGTTTAAGTATTAACAAGGAAACCTGTCCACAACAACAGAGAGAAGTGGCTGAGAAGAAAACTCCCTGGGAAGGACCCCAACACGCACACTTACAGCCACCTTGCGCTAATGACAGAGCAAAAAGCAAACATACTAGTTAGCAATGTTCATAGTCTGTGATGTTTAATTGTTTTCTCTTGGCTAAATACAAACAGGAATAGTGATGTTTTGTAGCCACTTATAATGCAACTTGCTTAACCACTTTGCCTCTCATATCTGTTCAGCCCCTATAGATCATAGCAATTTTTACTTTTCTGCCATGGACCGGTTTATTTTGCATTAACTTTGTCATTACTTAAGATGACACTAACACATATATTGATTTTTAAGTTCAAACAAGGCTTTCATTTCGTGAATATTGTCTTGCAACAACAATTTTTTTTTTTCGAAATCTTTAGATAATTAAACATAACGAAACTACACAAAACTCACTTTGTTTGAGCAGTGTTCGTTTAAAAATGCATAGGCATACTGCACATATAAAGTGCACATTTTATTCTGTATTTTTTTTCTGTTAAAAATGAAACTAAAATTATGATTCTGGTACAAAGCATTACAAAAGTTATTTACAAATTAAATTTTGCGCTTTTTTTAATGTGATATGTGTAAATATAAGTTAAAGGTGTAAAAAATATTAATGAACAAAGCAAGCAAAAAAAAAAAAAGAAAAAAGAAGTTAAATATTATTAGTTAATAAAATAGAAACAAAAAAAAAAAAAATCAGCAGAGAAATTATAAATGAATGGAGAAGGAGAATTCATTATTTATGGCGGATTAGAGTAAACCAAGAGTTATTAAGGGGATAAATAGAGGAACATTTTATTTTTTTTTACATGTAAAACTTTTTTTTTTTTTTTACTTGTCAGGTTGCTTTAAAGTGGAACTTAACTCTCAATCAACATGGAATATTTTTAAACCTTATGCCGCTAGCATTATTAAATAGATAGAAAAGTATATCATATTTAAATTTTTTAAACTTTTTTTTTTTTTTTTTTTTTTTACATTTCTCCAGTTACTTCCTGGTTTCCCTGCCTAAGCAAATGATGTCATACATCCCAGGGGTTTTCAGAAGGGAAGGGAGAGTTCTCAGCCAATGCCTGAGCTAAAAGCAGATGGATTCCAGGAAGTAAATGCTACATGAATCATCTGCCTTTACTCAAGATGGCCACTTCAAGAAATGTCATGGGGTGTTTTTCAAAATGATTTCTCAGCAAAATAAAGCATGGAGACATGGATGGATGGAGGAGTTTCCTTTGAATATTAACAATGAATAAAATAGTATTTTTGGTTTGTGGTGCTCAGAAGTAGTGCAGTTCCACTTTAACTGACTTCATCTACAGATCAAAGTTCATCCTTTTGATCAGTAGATGAATAAAGAGAATAGATACAAAATGTACCAATATGTTACTTTGTATCTTTCTGTATTGGCAGCTGAGCAGTGCTTCTTGATAAACATTGTCAGGCTGCTGCTTTTTTTGACAGCTCCAGTTGCCTAGACCTTCTCTGTGTACTGGCAATGCAGATGTCATTAATCAGAGTTGAACTGCCATGTACTGGGACAGGTAGGTACCGGCAGCAGGACATACATCTTGTGTATGATAACAATTTTTGGGGTATGTATGCCCAGAGTCTGCAATTGGTTAAAGAGAAAGTAATGCAACTAACCCTTAGCTGAAGATCTGATGACATGACCCTTTGTTCAAAATTTTCTACCGACTGGAGGACAGATAGATCCACCTGGAATGACCACTGTTCTACTGACCATTTGTCCAGTGTTTCCTGACTTACAGGATGACCTTCTGCAGGTTTGAACTCAAAGATGGCATCTAAAAAAGGCAGACAAAAACAGAATTTACAAATAAATTACATAACACAGTATTTTTAACGAATTTCTAAACCTTCCCAGCCCTGTGCATTACGTTATCAATATCTCATGTTAAAACTCTTACCAGAAGATGCCCGGGCACACATTTCCTTTAAGTGTGCAAGATGCTTTGAGAGGTGCTTGTGCAAAGACTTTTCCCGGATGCCACGTGGGTGGAGAGCTTTTATTAAGGTCTCTAGCATGACTGGGTCTTTTATGCACCACCATGCCTGTTTCTTGTCTATATGTGGGAAAGAAGGTTGCAAAACATTAATGTTGATGTATAAAACAATAACATATTTGGCGATTAAAAAAAAAAAAAAAAAAAAACAAAAAAAAAAACTAGCTTACTACCAAACAACCTACAAACCTTTTGGTTGACATGTACAGGTGCCAATTAAAGTGGGAGTACAAATTTAAAATTCTTTTGGCATCCTGCTTGGAAAGACCCTGAATTTTCTAATGAGCCTACCCCCGAGTTTGTGGCATGCCTGGGTCCGGAGCTACAGCGGTTCAAAGTGCCCAGAACCGATTCCCGGTACAATTTATAGATCTGAGATTAGGCTAGGGATTTCATCGCACTACTTCAGCTGGTGAGGCTAGGAGATAGTTGCTCAGTTAATGGGGCCATCTAAGAATTCTGACAGACAGGAAAGCTTAATTACAGTTTACCCAAAGCCTGTTCCTTTATCCTACATATGGACTAAGGAGCCTACCTTTTATCCTGAAAAATTAGCTGTCCATTTGTCTGTGTTCATTGTGAATGGGAGTGACTTCGTCATTATTGATCAGCAGCTGCACTTGCAAGGTTCTAATGAGTAAAGTGGCAGGGTCTGAATCCCTTAAGATGTGGTCAAAGCAGTACTAAACCCAAAACCAAAAATGTAATATAGTGCAGCTTACCAATCATTGGATGTAGTGTCTACTTTATTATTATATTTTTTATTCTTTATAGCAAAAAAGTGTATAAAAAAAACTTTTCAACAGTACACTTGACAGGCAACAGTGTAATAAATCTGTCGCTACGAAAACTGGTAGCATGGTAAACAAAGTGTAACATGTTGGGTTACAATATTCCAGAAAGGAGATAGACACAGTGAAAATGTGTGAACACCCAAAACAGAGAATTTGCTATAGCCAGCATGACCCAAATTGCTTCACTCTAAGATATTGCCTATGGAAGCCAACAAGGGTCTTTGTCACTGGTGGGAAGGGAATGCCCATTTCCCATCAGGAAAGCTTTCTATGTATTTTTATAGGTGTAAGAAAGAACAGAGAAATGTGAAAGAGAATGAAGGGGAGAAGCAGAGAAATATGGGATGATGGGGGGTATGGCTTATTTGGGAAATAGAGTACCTAACAGTCCCACTCAAGCTCATCACATAGCAGGGTGCACGGAGCTGGGTGCGAGGAATTCATTTTATTTCTCATAGAAGGTGAACTGGGTCCAAAAAAAAAAAAAAAAATGTCTTGCAGAAGCGGGCTTCTTGTTTCTTCTAGGATAAGGTGCAGTCCTCCATAGTTTTTTTTTTTTTTTTTAAGGCTTTTTCCCACCTCTGTTTTCACCTGGTGATCTGGCCAGAAATACACCTTCTGTATTAGGTCTCATGCACATGCACACAGGGCATTTGCCCATCTCTCCTAAATGCCTTTTTTCCTGGCAGCAGAGTTTTGGCAGAAAAAATGCTTGATGCTTGTAAACACGTTTAGGCGCATCAAGTACTGGGGCATTAATTATTTTCATTGCCCATAATAATTTAGCCTGGCCATTACTATGGAATAATGCACAAGCACTTGATTGATTAACATGCATTTGCATGCGTCAAACATTTTTTCTGCCCCAAATGCTGCTGCTTTTGGATGCGTTGGCAGTGGGTTTTTTTCTGCCTCTAAACACCCATTCCTCTAAATGCCTATGTGTGCAAGGGCACATAAGCTACCATGTAGGGGCATTTAGATACAGAAAAAACACCAGACGCCCCTAGCAGCAGAGTTGAAAATGTCAAGTGTGCACAAGTTCTTTGAGTGCTCCTACTGTGAATAAATGGGTACAGAGGGCACAGCAGAATTGTCAGTTGGGGGGGAAGGGTAGTCTAGTAATAGCAAATTTAAATGCACTAACAAAATGAAGCCAAACTCCAGCTAATACTTTATAATCAGTTAGAGCAAGCAGTTTTTTTTCCTTTTTTGGGGTAAAAGTTTTACATGAATAAATTTAGGCTGATCATTGTAAGCACCCCTGTCAGTGGTAAATGGTTTGTCTCATTACTGTAAATGGATACATCTGGGAGAGAACATTTTCTTTTTTCAAAAAATAGACCATCTATTTTTTCAAAAGGATCACCAGATGAAAATAGAAGAAAAAAAGCCTAGAAAAGAACAGGGCAACTGGAGAACAGATTAGCTCCTTGGAGAACACACTACATCCTTTGTCTGCTAAGGTCCGCTCTGCTTCAGATGAGATGGTGGCCCTTAAAAATAAATTGGACGATTTAGAAAACCACAGATGCTGCAACAATCTCCGTTTTGTGGATTTTCCAGAGCAGTTGGAGGGGGCCTGCCCCGAGCACTTTCTCTGTTCCTGGCTGCACAGTGTTTGGGGCCAACTTACTATCCTCACCCGTTTTCTAGGTCTGATGGTTTATTGGATGGCCGTAAACATGAAACTCGCTTATGTTAGTCTGCTATTTGGACATTTTTTATCCTTCTCAGGGAATTTCTGGTTCACAGGATGAGCCGTATTGACTTCAGGACACCCCCTCACCCATTTGTAGGACTGCCACTAGGCTTTTTGTTCTTTTTTTGGGACTCAAGATCTCTGTCATTGGGATGGATGAGCACAGTGGGCTGAGTGGGGGTTGTGCGGCTAGCTTTTGTACTGACCTATCAAACGGTCCAGGTTTTCTTTTTCTTTTTGATCTCACATGTTCACACTCATACAGTGCCTTGAAAAAGTATTTATACCCCTTGAAATTTTCCACATTTTTTCATGTTACAACCAAAAAGCAAATGTATTTTATTTGGATATTATGTGATAGACCAACACAAAGTGGCACATAATTGTGAAATGGAAGGAAAATGATAAATGGTTTTTAAAATTTTTTACAAATAAATATCTGAAAAGTGTGGTGTGCATTTGTATTCAGCCCCCTTTACTCTGACACCCCTAACTAAAATCTAGTGGAACCAATTGCCTTCAGAAGTTCCCTAATATTAGTAGAGTTCACCTATGTGTAATTTAATCTCAGTATAAATACAGCTGTTCTGTGAAGCCTTCAGAGGTTTGTTCACGAATGTTCTCTAACAAACCGCATCATGCAGGTCAAGGAACACACCTGACAGATCAAGGATAAAATTGTGGAGAAGTTTAAAGCAGGGTTAGGTTATAAAACAATATCCCAAACTTTGAACATTTCACGGAGCACTGTTCAATCAATCATCCAAAAATGGAAAGAGTATGGCACAACTGTAAACCTACTAAAATATGGCCGTCCACCTAAACTGACAGGCTGGGCAAGGAGAGCACTAATCAGAGAAGCAGCCAAGAGGCCCATGGTAACTCTGGAGGAGCTGCAGAGATCTACAGCTCAGGTGGCAGAATCTGTCCACAGGACAACTATTAGTTGTGCACGCCACAAATCTGGCCTTTATGGAACAGTGGTAAGAAGAAAGCCATTGTTGAAAGAAAGCCATAAGAAGTCCCGTTTGCAGTTTGTGAGAAGCCATGTGAGGGACACAGCAAACATGTAAAAGAAGGTGCTCTGGTCAGGGGAGACCAAAATTTTATTTTTTGGCCTAAAAGCAAAAACACTATGTTTGGCAGAAACCTAACACTGCACATCACCCTGAACACACCATCCCACCATGAAACATGGTGGTGGCAGCATCATATTGTAGGGATGCTTCTCTTCAGCAGGGACAGGGAAGCTGGTCAGAGTTGATGGGAAGATGGATGGAGCCAAATACAGGGCAATCTTAGAAGAAAACCTGTTTGAGTCTGCAAAAGACTTGAGAATAGGGTGGCGGTTCATCTTCCACCAGGACAACGATCCTAAACATACAGCCAGAGCTACAATGAATGGTTTAGATGAAAGCATATTCATGTGTTAGAATGGCCCAGTCAAAGTCCAGACCTAAATCCAACTAAAAATCTGTGGCAAGACTTGAAAATTTCTGTGCACAGATGCTCTCCATCCAATCTGACAGAGCTTGAGCTATTTTGCAAAGAAGAATGGACAAACATTTCACTCTCTAGATGTACAAAGCTGGTAGAGACATCCCCAAAAACACTTGCAGCTGTAATTGCAGTGAAAAGTGGTAATACAAAAGTATTGACTTAGGGGGGCTGAATACAAATGCACGCCACACTTTTCACATATTTATTTGTAAAAAATGTTGATCATTTATCATTTTCCTTCCACTTCACAATTATGTGCCACTTTGTGTTGGTCTGTCACATAAAATCACAATAAAATACAGTTACGTTTTTGGTTGTAACATAACAAAATGTTAAAAATTTCAAGGGGTATGAATACTTTTTCAAGGCACTGTATGTACTGCTGAGAGTCCCTCAGCTGAGGTCACTCTAGGAGGTTTTACTCTGCTATGTGTTTCTTTATACTTGTATGTATTTCTTAAGGCTACCGCATTGAACATAATTTCCTGGAATACTACAGGGTTAAACTCACCTCAAAAGTGATCCCTATTGTTCTCCTTCCTCAAAAAATATAAACCTCATTATCTGTTTACACGTGACCCACCTAATAATTCTAAACTTTTAGCTCTTAAGCCCAAAACCTTGTCAACAATAGCTCTTACTACCGTGGGGTGTCTATTATGTTAGCCAAATCACACCCTGCCGATATAGTACAGGTGCCCATCGACCCTGATGAAAGGATTATTATGCCAACATTACAGATTGGATCTATTACATTTGCTCTGGTGAAATTCCCCAAGAATAGTGCTGCGCTGCCCCCTAGTGACCCAAAAAGCATCAAAACCCCAATTTGTAAATAAATAGATCTGTGAAACAAAGTCAATGATTAATAAGAAAAACTGACTGAGCCACAAAATCCAAATGATATGTGAAACGTATATCAAAAAAAAAACACAATCACAGTAGCAATAAACACCTGGCCGAGCAATCCGGCTGAGCAGAAGCATAAAGTGTGAAAACCAATAAAAAGAGTAATAAATAATTGTAAAATAAATGGAATAAATCAGTGATTAATCAAATGAATGCCCAACTGGGCTAGATTCACCAATGAAACAACAACTGAGCAGTGGCTGGATCTATTAGTGGATCACATGGGTAAGGTCAATGTTCTACAATGATTTACTTACCTATAACTGTTATACATTACATAAAATAGGGTTACTCCCTGTAAAGACCTGTTTTTTGAAGTTGTGGCCAGGTTGCTGATTTCCTACACTGCTTTTGGTCATGTCCTTTGGTACAACAGTTTTGGAGAGATGTGGGTTCATTTATTTCTTCTGTGTTAGGTCTCCCTTATGTTCTAAATCCTAAAATTTGCCTTTTGGGAATCTTTGGAGAACCTCTTTCTAAATATGCTAAACAGTTACTATGCATTTTGTACATGTATGCTAAAAAAAGTGAGCCTACTTTCCTGGAAGGGGTCAGTATTGCCAGCTATACCACAATGTCTTAAACTTATTAATGATTCCCTTCCTCTATATAGACTCACTTTTGAATTGAGGAAGAAAAACTGTTTGATAAGCTATGGGGTAGGTGGATTGCTAACCCCTTACCTTGACCTCTCTAGATCCAGATGTTTAGGTCTTGCTTTATTGCCATCTATGTATTTTACTCTGGAGTGCACAACCCTGCTATTTGATATACTTTGTTAAGGTCTCTATGTGAACTGTGAGACTTTTTGGGCCTTCTAAGTTTTGTGTTCATTTGAAAAAAAAAAAAATATTAAATTGACAAAACTTTAATACATATCTATGAAAAAAAAAAGAGAAACTAATGCAAACATCACATCTAAGAATTGATAAGCTGCAATCTATTAAATGTTTGCTTTTGGGTATAATACTGTTTTAACCCTTTGGGAGTATCTAACCAAAAATTACATTTTTGTTGCAGAGGGTGCCTAAAACTTGACTTAGTCTTAGTGCATTTCTGACTTACTGGGAAAATCAGCGAGCTACCCACACAAGCAGGAAATTACAAATTTCTGGAGGATATTCCATACACATCATCTGTGTATAAAAAGGAATGCCTTCCCTCTGGAATGGGCTTGCCACAATGCATTACGCATGTGCAAAAACACTATAACAGTCATATGACAAAGTGCAGAAACAGAAAGAAGTGCCAAACCAGGTCATTTTTCGCTGGCCTGCAAAATAAAACAAAGTTGTATATTACAATATGGCTTATCTTAATAACACTGTGTCATAAAATTAGCAATCTTTACATAATATATGGTTTTTTTTATTATTAATGACGCAAAATTGATGCAACTTTATCCAATTGATACGTGAAATTGGAGTATACTACCCTTTAATTGCATCAAAAAAAAAAGCATATTTTGAGGAAGCTTTTACATTTCGTGTTATGCTTACACAGTCTTCGAACTTGTGTGAATAAAAAAATTTCTGGAAAATAACTTTTAAAAAAAGGAGGATCTGATGTGAAAGCTAAACTTACCTCTGGAATGGGCCTTTGTATTCTTGTGGGATTGTAGTACTTCTTTCGTTCTATTTGGAGAGAGCCAAGAGAAGAGCTTTCTGGTTGGCCTTCCTCTACGCCTCTCTTGTGCTGAGCTGTTGTAAACTTGCCACACTATTCCTTAAAGGCTTGTTACATATATGACAAAAGTGCAGAAACAGACGGCAGATGCCAACACCAGCAGGCTGCTCTTCTGTTAATGTGCTGGCCTGCAAAATAGATCAAAGTTTTGTAGAAAAGAAGTTTGCTGCAACTATCTTAACTAACACTGTTCAACAGGTAAAAAGTCATGGGGGCTAAAATTAGCTAAAGCACCAGAATTTTGGGGTGTTGAAAACAAGTTAAAGAACCTGAAGCGTGTAGTCACGTGCAGTGTTGATTGCCTGGAATACACCCAGAAAAAGCCAATGAAGCAAAAACCGATTCACAAACTATGAGACAAAACTAGTGAGAATCCTAAGTATTAAAATGCGCATTTGAACTGGTGCCTGGCTATAATTTTTCTTGTATACCTATGCAATGATATTATATTAGGCTTTGTTGCTTCACTTCACTGCTTAAAAGTGGAAAGACATCAATCTATAATATTGTTGCGATTATGTAGTCATTACGCCTATAGTAGAAAACTTTCCGTTTACAATATAGAGCTACAAATTTCATTGTTATAAAGCAGAATGGGAAATTCTGCAGTTCCAAAAAACTGGCATAAAATAAAAATTTGTTGAACAGTGTAACAGTTCATTGACCAATGGGCACCACATGTAAAAAGAAACAAAGGCTCCATTCAATAAGCTATACTGTATGTGATATTTACCATAATGATTGTTTTTTTCAGCTTTCACTGAATCAAGCTATTACAAATCGCTGTGAGAGGATAATTTTGGCTTAGGGAAACCCAGTCTATATTACTAGAAGCATGAACAAAACACATTAAAAAATATACAGGGTTATACACACAACAGGCGTTTAGAACACTACTGCGGACAGATAAAACGTATTTAATTTGGAAAAGTGCAGTGACCACTGGCAACCAATCAACAATGGTTACTCATAGTCTGGACATACTAGACAAGCATTAATCCTTCGAAGCAGAAAAGTACAGAACCCAAGCTTTGAATGGCTAGTAAATTATATTTGTTAATACCCTGGCAATAAGTAGCTGGTGGCGAATGTAAGAAACGCTGTAGCCTATAAGCAATGAATTAAGCGATGTATGCCAGTTGCCTGGCACCTAGTGGCTATCAATAAGGTCGTGACTTGTACCTACTGCCTTTAGGTCCAGCATATTACGCAGTCCAAAAACATTTATTTTTATTGTCTGCTGAGAGACACAGGAACTTCTACACTGTTGAGATGCACAATGTTAACGGGTCTAAAAGGAAGAAAACAAAACAAACAAAAAAAAAACCACAGAAAACTCGGGAGCCACCTAAAGGACCCAGAAGCAAGACTTCTAATAAAAGAAGTCCATAGTCCAACACCCAACATGAGTATTGACAGGAGAGTCATATGACTACAAAACCGACATGCTTTTAGCAAGCTAAAATGATAACTTACAGCCATTTTTCCATTTACTCCATGGTTCAGAAAGGTACAAGAATACGAAGGTTCATCTTCCACCAGGACAACGATCTTAAACATACAGCTAGAGCTACAATGGAATGGTTTAGATGAAAGCATATTCATGTGTTAGAATGGCCCAGTCAAAGTCCAGACCTAAATCCAACTGAGAATCTGTGGCAAGACTTGAAACTTTCTGTTCACAGATGCTCTCCATTCAGTCTGAGCTTCAGCTTGACCCCACTTTGCTTGCCAGAGATAAAAATGAAGACCAAGCAATCAAGTTTAAAGCTGAGTTCCAAACTAACCCCCCAACTCCTTAGATTGCAACAAGGAGGCCTGCAACAGGGCTCTGGTCAGTACCATACCCAACTAAAGAATACATAGTGGCCACAGAGAAAAACTGGAAGGAAATCCGCTGGTCGCTCAGAGTGACAGAGTGAGCACTGGAGTTGCACAGGAAGAATTGCGTATAAGAATCCACAATAGCAATTGCACATTAACCAGGACAAAAACCAAACTAACCAAATAATATCTGACAACAGAAGATAGCAGCAGCTTAACAATTGCCAGAGGAGGCCCTATTAGTGTGTGATCAAACTCAGTTATTGTAAACCCTAACCTTGTAAAAACAACCCATTTGGTTTAAAATAGAAATAAGAGGCAAGCCATTTGTGTATCGATGTGTATCGATATATATATATATATATATATATATATATATATAAAAAAAATCACCATAAACACGATTTTATCCTTTAAGTGATCACATGCCGTCTATGCTCAGCTGTGCAAGAGCTGGGGAAGGAGAAACAGCAGCACTCTTATCTTTCCAGTGAAAGGCTGTGCAGGAGAGTCATGCCATGGCAAATCTGATTATTAGCGGACAGCACAGCTAAAGAACTGACCATGCTGTGCTCTCCTGCTTAGTGTGGTCAGTTTTTCTAATAGGAAGAGGGACTGGCAGGAACACAAGGGATTTCACACAAAAGAAGCAATACAAAGAGAACAGAATACCTTCCATAGCTGTTCATCAACCCAAGAGGTATTAACATGTGTACGATACTATAGCCCTAAGTGGATTACAGAACTGTGCCTGGCACAAACCCTCCCTCCAGGTGGGTAATGGTCATCAGGAGTTAGAAGACTGGGTGGATATGGGCTTCCTGTTGAGATGGGGTTGTTGTGTGCTTGTAAAGAAACTAAGGCATCCACATACGGAAATCTCTCTTCCTGGTTTCCTGGCGAAAATGAGGATCTCCAATTGTTGTATCTCATCAGTTCTGCCACTGCATCTTAGTGGGGGGGCAGTCAGTTTTGTTCCCACATTGGGGGTATACACACCTTAGCTGCAGTCAAGAGATGTTCGAGAAGTGAGTTTTGTACTCAATTATCGATGGATGCAGGTCATGGAGTAAATAGGCCGGAGGGTTATTCTTAAATACACCTGTCATTACATTTTGTAAAACTATATTCCATAAATTCTGTTACCAAGGAAAATCCCAAAAGACCTTAAGAAGTGTGCTTAGTGCCTCCAGGCAGTGACAGCATAGTTGGGAAACCTGGTGATAGTCCTATACAACAAGGTGTCAATAGTTTATACCCACTCTCTTGGTATTCGTTGGCTGGAGAAGATCTGGATGAATGAAGTTTAAAGGTTTTTCTCCCAGAAAAATGGGACAACCTAATAATGCCCTTCTGTATCAGTGTTAGAAATTTAGGAAGCCCTCTGAGGGGAAGGTGTGGATACCATGACTGGGGTCAAAGGATTTGCTTTGGGAGACAAGACAGTGGTTCAAAAAAAGAGCCTGACTGTTTTGACTGTAGAGCCAATAAAAGGATGAGTTTTGATCTTGAAATGAACCAAGTTGTCTTTATCGAACGCTGGCCATATACAGATCGCAATCCAGTTGGTTCAGCAGGGACCGGCCAAATTATGATCCATGCATGGGCAGGGTGGCTGTACAGAAGTCTATACACTAACTGATTTCTGTACAAACACCCTGTCGGATTTTTGATGCTTCATCAGCATTGCCGGCTACGGCCGGCAGCACTAATCAGCGTATTCTGATGACAGAGAAGTCTCTCCGCTCTCTGGGTACAATAGCCCAGTGAGGAGGATTCCCCCATTCACACTGAATGTGTGCAATCAAAGAATCGGTTACGTTAATTTAGTTCAATCCGCTGGTTGAAGGAAAAAAACTGATTAGCAATGAAGGGCTGACAGCGGGGTTAAAAGGAAAGATGTTGAAGTCCCATCTAAAGGTTTCTCTTTTTCAGTACACCAAAGCCTGGCAAGATGAACGGTATTGTATTTTACAGGATCAGGGAATCCAATTCTGAGGTTTATTTTTGGAAGTGTCAAATTGGATTTTCTAAGCTTGGCTTTTTTCCCTGCACATATACATAGCAAAAAGTGGGTACAAAAGTCTTTTGGAAATTCCACAGGGAGCTGTATTGGGAGAGTTAGAGGGACTTATAATAAACAGGGAACAGCATTCATCTTTATCAGTTTGTTACAGTGGAACCAGCTAAATACTTCTTTACCCCAAAGCTTTACGTCTGCTTTGATGGTTCTAGCTAACAAAAAATAAAAAATTGGGTTTAACAACCCACCAGACTCACAGGAATGGTAGTTCTTAAATTTCTGATGTGTGATGTGGACCATTTAAAGGGGAGTTTAATCTGTTCCTGCACTCTATCATTAATAGCTATAGTCATTGCCTCAAACTTTGAAAACTGTATCCTAAAGTTTGAGAGACTACGGTATAAATCTAGTTCTCAATAAAGAACTAGAGTGGAGATGATCAGTGAAGTAACAAATAAAGATGAGATCATCCGCATACACTGCTTCTTTGTGTGGGCCCTGTTTGGTATTTACAACACCATTATATCTTTTCAAGCTCTAATAGAAAAAAACATTAAAAAAGTTCTAAAGTAAGAATGAAAATAAGTAGGGATAGGAGGGAAACCTGTCGTGTGCAATTGCGATTAGAAAAAGGTTCAGAAATGGTTTAATGTATAGTAGTTATGAACTCTAAATCTATTCTATCAAATGCTATTTCAGCACCTGTAGACAGGAGGATAAGAGGAAAGCCTTTACTTTGGGCTTAATGGATTGCATTAAGGACCCGTTATGTATTATCCCTCGCTTGTCTTTCTGGAATGAAATCTGATTGGCCAGTAGGGATGAGCTCAATCTGTACCCAATAAGCAATCCCATCGGGAAGATACAGGAGCTCATCACTCATCAATAGGCAAGTAGTTAAGGATGTACCCCTCCAGGCCAAGGGCTTTGCCTGTTTGGAAGAATTTTAAGACAGTGGTCAAAAATATGCATAGGGAGGGGTTGTTCTAATGATTGCGGAACTTTATTTGGAAGCTGGGCGTGCCCACTTCTTGGAAGTATTGTTGAGGCAATATTTATCAGTGGGACAGGTTGAGAGCTGGAATGTGTCAGGGACAGATTGTATATCCACTTTTGCAACTAAACCAGGATGTTACTTAAAGTGGAGATCCAGTCAAAAAAAAAATAGAAGTCAGCAGCTACAAAACTGTAGCTGCTGACTCTTAAGAAACAGCCACTTACTTCTCCCTGGATCCACAGGTATACTCACCGCAGCCGAGTTCACCGGCCAGTTTCACTATCTGGCATCTTAACTGTGGGCACTCTTCTGTGACAGCTTGCTTATTCACAACCAGGTGCCCACTGCATATGCACACTTTGTAGGAGAACTGCAACTTCCAATCGCCTAGGCCAGGGGTCTCCAAACTATGGCCCTCCAGGTGCTGAGGAACTGCAAGTCCCATGATGTCTTGCAAGACTGACAGCCACAGGAAAGACTCCTAGAGGCAGAGGCATGATGGGACTTGTAGTACTTCAACAGCTGGCGGGCCATAGCTTGGAGACCCCTGGCCTAGGCGATCGCAGCAGAAGTGGGAGCGGGTACCAGTCAAAATCGGGTACCCGCTCCTCAAAGTTGCCAATCCTTAACAAAGAGCATGGGATAAGGCCTTAAAGCGGGACTTCTCCTTTTGGGTGGAGCTCCGCTTTAATAACTGGTAAATGTTCCCTTTCACATAACATAAAAAAAAAAAAAAAAAAATTTGCTGCATTCCATTTTATTTCCTGAAAAATATTCTCTAGCTTTCCCGTTCAATGTAATTTTAAAGAGGGAGCTGGGGAGTTACAGTCAGGTCCATAAATATTGGGACATCGACACAATTCTAACATTTTTGGCTTTATACACCACCACATTGGATTTGAAATGAAACGAACAAGATGTGCTTTAACTGCAGACTGTCAGCTTTAATTTGAGGTATTTACATCCAACTCAGGTGAACGGTGTAGGAATTACAACAGTTTGCATATGTGCCTCCCACTTCTTAAGGGACCAAAAGTAATGGGACAATTGGCTTCTCAGCTGTTCCATGGCCAGGTGTGCGTTATTCCCTCATTATCCCAATTACAATGAGCAGATAAAAGTCCAGAGTTCATTTCAAGTGTGCTATTTGCATTTGGAATCTGGTGCTGTCAACTCTCAATATGAGATCCAAAGAGCTGTCACTATCAGTGAAGCAAGCCATCATTAGGCTGAAAAAAACAAAACAAACCCATCAGAGAGATAGCAAAAAAACATTAGGCGTGGCCAAAACAACTGTTTGGAACATTCTTAAAAAGAAGGAACGCACCAGTGAGCTCAGCAACACCAAAAGAAAGTTTGACAAACGACATCTAAAAAAGCCTTCACAGTTCTGGAACAACATCCTATGGACAGATGAGACCAAGATCAAACTTGTACCAGAGTGATGGGAAGAGAAGAGTATGGAGAAGGAAAGGAACTGCTCATGATCCTAAGCATACCACCTCATCAGTGAAACATGGTGGTGGTAGTGTCATGGCGTGGGCATGTATGGCTGCCAATGGAACTGGGTTCTCTTGTATTTATTGATGATGTGACTGCTGACAAAAGCAGCAGGATGAATTCTGAAGTGTTTCGGGCAATATTATCTGCTCATATTCAGCCAAATGCTTCAGAACTCATTGGACGCCGCTTCACAGTACAGATGGACAATGACCCAAAGCATACTGCAAAAGCAACCAAAGAGTTTTTTAAGGGAAAGAAGTGGAATGTTATGCAATGGCCAAGGCAATCACCTGACCTGAATCCGATTGAGCATGCATTTCACTTGCTGAAAACAAAACTGAAGGGAAAATGCCCCAAGAACAAGCAGGAACTGAAGACAGTTGCAGTAGAGGCCTGGCAGAGCATCACCAGGGATGAAACCCAGCGTCTGGTGATGTCTATGCGTTCCAGACTTCAGGCTGTAATTGGCTGCAAAGGATTTGCAACCAAGTATTAAAAAGTGAAAGTTTGATTTATGATTATTATTCTGTACCATTACTTTTGGTCCCTTAACAAGTGGGAGGCACATATGCAAACTGTTGTAATTCCTACACCGTTCACCTGATTTGGATGCAAATACCCTTAAATTAAAGCTGACAGTCTGCAGTTAAAGCACATCTTGTTCATTTCAAATCCATTGTGGTGGTGTATAGAGCCAAAAATGTTAGAATTGTGTCGATGTCCCAATATTTATGGAACTGACTGTATGTTTACCATATATATCACTGTCTGTACTGTGCTAGAAGATCTCCATTATCAGTTGTGAAGGCTATGTCCCAACATTGGGGTGAAGGATTTGGCGGTACATTGTACAAAGATATTGTGGGTGTTTCACAAATTTGACTACGATGGAAATTTACTTTATGAATATTAGCGTTTGTCTTACAGTAGTAGGGCCAAGGAGGGATCACCATAGGCATGAATGGAAAAGAGAGCTGCCTGTCATACATTTGTGCGCCCGTTGCCCCAGCTGTGCTATGAATGAAGGCTGGGACCTGCCGATCGACAAAGCAGTTGACAGGACAAAGCTCTGTGATTGTAAACACAGAGTTCTATCTCGACAGCGGGGATGTTCCGCTTTTTGTTTCCCTAAAAAGCAGGGAATAAAAACCGGCACATCCCTTAGTAAAATCAGCACACAGTAAACACATCAAGCATTGTTAGGCACACAGTTAGCCCTTTGATTGCCCCTAGATGTTAACCCCTTCCCAACCATTGTAATTAATACAGTGTCAGTGTATATTAGCATTGATCACTATATTAGTGTCACTGGAGATGGCAGTGTCAGTTCTCAGAAAAGGTCAGTGTCGGATTGACCGCCGTACCATCACATTTCCACTATAAGTCGCTGATTGCTGCCATTACCAGTATATTAAAAAAAAAAAAAAATTGAATATGTATATACTATAGTTTGTAGACACCAACTTTCGCGCAAACCAATATATGCTTGCTTGGGATTAAAATATGTAGCACAATACATTTTGGCCTAAATTTATGAAGAAATCTGATTTTTAAATTTTTTTTTTATTGGGGATGTTTTATCGCAGAAAGTAAAATATATATTTTCTTATACATTTTTGTTTTTCGTTTATAGAATAACAAAAAAAAACCCAGTGGTGATTAAATAGCACCAAAAGAAAGCATTATCAGTGTGAAAAATATTATATAAATTTCATTTGGGTACAGTGTTGCATGACCCCGCGACTGTCAGTTAAAGTAGTGCAGTGCTGAATAGCAAAAAATAGCCTGCTCCGGAAAAGGGTAAAAACCTTCTGGAGGGAAAATGGTTAATACCAGTTTAAGCATGCACAGGTATAAATGAGCAAGGCTACGTTACTGTACAAGTTAGATTACACACTGACAAACTTACCTGTACTGGTGGTGTAGCTGCAGCATGGGAGGGTGGGGGAAGTAGGTGGTTTGCTTGAATATTGTTTTTTTGGGTAGAATCAGTGCAATTAGTTCTAGGAAGCAAATTATACAACTTGTTCTCTTTTCTCATCAGTGTCTGTGGCTCCAGGACACGGTCCAATTTCAAAAGCAGATGCTATGTCACTTCGAGGAGGACTGTTCTCAGGTGTCAGTACAGTACTGTTCATGATAGCATTTTGACACTGGCTCAGCCATGAAAGTACAGTTGTCTGGCCCATGTCTTGTGGCTGCTCAGAAATAAGGGTGCTTGATTGAAAAAGGCCATTTATGGGGACTTCCTGAGATCCAGTGCACTGACAGAATTTATAATGTTCTGAATCACCTCTTGGTTTCCTGGGACGACCACGGGAGCGACTAAAATTAAAGTAACATTTATCTTCTGTTCCTTCGACTACCTCGCTCTTCAAACAAGCCAATTCTGGTAACTCAGCCTGTGGAGGATCCAGTGTTTGACCTGAAAATTAACACTGTTCCATCAGTCAGGCCTAGACATTTCAAGATAACACATGTGAATTACAGAAATTGACTCACAAATGCATAATGACTGATTTAGAAAAAGACACCTTTCCTCTTAAAGCGGTAATAAACCTTAAAGCAAACATTATATTGCAGCTTGCCAACTTTTAGATGTGATGGCTGCATTAGTTTTTTTTCTTTTATTTTCACCTGGTGATCTGGCCAGTAAGTCTGATGCTTTTCAAAAGAACAAACCATTTTCCAGATGTTATCAGTTTACGGGGATTAGAAAAACCATTTAGCACTGAACTTTATTCCAAAAAGGAAAAAAAAAAAAAAGGTTTACAGTAACTGATTATAAAGTGTGAACTGGAGTGTGGCTTCAATTTGTTACTGTATCTAAATCTGCTAGTAAATGTAAGACTACACAACTCCCCCCCCCCCCCCAGTGCTGCTGTATGCTGTGCCTCCTGTGCTCTTTCATCCAGAGTAGAGGCACTCTAATACATGAGGCATGTTACTGGCCAGATCACTAGGTAAAAACAGAGGAGGGTGGGGGGGGGGGAGCCTTAAAGAAAAAAAAAAAATTATTGCAGCAACCGTATCATATGATTGGTAAGCTGCATTACATTTTTGGTTTTGAGTTTATCACTTTAACTCTCTAATTAATGACTAGAGGCCAGAAACCATGTGATCTACATTGCTTAAGCTGAAATACATTTTTTTTCTGTATTCAGTGTCACAAAAAATAAACTTTTAGCCCTAGTTCACACATGCGATTTATAAATTGCACCTGAAGTTGCATCTAATGTATTTCTATGGCAGTCTTAAGAGATGCAATTTCAAGTATCATGATTTTAAAAATAGTTCCTGCATTACTTTTTCACCACTTCAGTGCTATAAACTCTCAGACTATAAAAGGTGCTGAAATCTCACGTGTGTACATCAGCACTACCTTGAAGTTGGCTTTAATGGGACCATATCGCACCATTTTGAAATCCCATTTAGTATGAACCAGGGCTTAAACCTCAAAATAAAACAGACATAACGATCACCAGATGAAAATTAAGTAAAGAAAGACTAATGAAGAAAACTAATGCAGCCCTCACATCTAAGAATTGGTAATCGGCAATTCCACTGCCAACTATGGAATTTGGACATCTGCAGCATCAACAGCTGCAGCGAATACCAAGACAGTGACTGCATCTTAAAGGATGCAATCATTTTTTGGCTGACAACATTTTTCCACACTAACATTTTTCAGTCAACTTTTGTCAAGCTGGGTGGTGCTTACAGCTCAAATTTCAACAATTCAGAAGCTTTGTTTTCCTCAAAAACTACAGGTTCACGTAAAGACCTTAAAAATTAAGTTAGTACTTTGTAGAAATGGAAAACAATGACAAAGCATAACAGGTCAGAACATACCAGGGCTTTCTGAGTAACCTTCCACAAAGATGCCGCCTGTGTGTGGCAGCATCCAATAGAACCTCCGGTACCGATCCTGCCCCAGTGTTGCGCATCGAAGCCTCTGAGAGCAACCAATAATTTTCTTTCGCAGAAACATTTGGCGCTGTAAAACAGAATTAAAAAGTTAAAAAACATGAGAAATAACTATCAGAAATGTATATCTTCCCTTTCCAATATGGATCAACATTACCTTAGTAAGTTTCTCAATTTGTCTTTCAAGATCCAGACTACTTGCATTTGGGGAAATCTCCTCCTGCAATTCAAAGCCAACATTAGCCAATATAAAAACTGAATGAACTGTGCTTAAAAAAGGACCTCTCGTTATTTATGCAGCATTGCTTCAATTTATCATGTAACTGGGTGTGTGGATGTTTCACAAGTGCAAAAGGTTACATTACTTTTAAAGTTCCAAATTTATAAAGCACCAACATTACATATAAAAGAAACCTGTAGTGAAAGAAATATGAAGGCTACAATTGCAAAGTCCTCCTACTGAAAATACTAGTTGCCTGGCTGTCATTCTGATCAGTTATCAACCTTGAACATGTATTCAGAAAGGGACTTATTACTTTTCTTTATAACTGTCTAGATCTGCAATTTCAGGAGGAGGTAAGCAAAGACAGCCACCATCCTTTTATTACAAGCAAGCGAATAATTAGGGATGAAAGAAGTGAATAATTAGGGATGAAAGAAGACAAAATGGGAATAAATTTCCCTCTTTTTATGCAATTACCAGGTGGATTTAAAAGATCTGGTTGCTGAGGACTAGTCTTAGACTTACCCCTTCATCTGCAGAAGTATTCAATAGCCCAGGTTTGTCTTCTGTTAAGTCTTCATTCTCTTCAGCAGTGCGAGCACTACGCCTTCTCCGACTCTCCTCTGTGCTGGCAACTTGGTTTTCCTGCATACCAGTCTTTTTTCCTAATGCAAATTTCAACCTGAAGGCCAGAGGAATAAATGCAAGAACATAATTTAAGGACTTCTCACTAATAGAAAAAAAACAGGTTTCCAAACAAGAAACTATAATGTTTTTCTCTTTCGTTAAGATTTTATTAAAGATTTTAAAAGGATACAACGTATAAAAACTGTATGCAACTATATAAGTAAAATTGGTCTATCAGTGACATAAAAAACACAGTAGCAATCATACGTCAAATAGAAAAGGGGTTACAAAAAAGGCAGAGCAGAGCAATACGTATACTGAAGTACACATTAATAGTGCAACAACAATTTAAAGGATAAGTTCACATTTAAAAAAACAAAAAAAAAAAACAATAAATGCACATCTTTTACAGGTAAAATAAATGTTCCTTTTTTTTGTTTGTATTAGGGCTCCTGCAGACTGTCCATGTAGGCTGCTAGTACCACATACGGGCAGGCAGTTACACAATGACAAGAAGAATCAGTAAACTACCTAGAGTGCTCACCAGCACTTTGGTAGTTCATTGAGAACTACAAGCCATCAGCTGCAAAGGCTGACATGACAGTAGTTGTAGTTCTACAGTTCACAGAACTCTGTGAATGAATGAGGCGGGCCGGGTGGGCGGAGAGCCGCACAACCGCAGTTTGTCTTTTTTCCATTGTGATTGTGGGTTTGTAGAGAAAATCCCTGACCTGCTATCACAGGGACAGGGGGAATCGGGGCTGAGTGCTGCAAAAACAGGAACATGTTCCACTTAAAAATGGGTGGAACATGTAACATGTTCCCACAGGTGAACGTATGCTTTAACAACATATGTAAAAACATGATCTGAGCGCCAATAGCAAAGTAAAAGGTGCTCATGTGTTAAATGCAAATATTACGTTTGCTATGTGGAGAACACAGAAATGTATAGTCAGGAGGTCCAAACTACTAGGTTTTCTAAAGATCCAGGCAGGCACTTAGACTGTGGAAGGAACAAGGCGGGGGGAGGGTTTCAGGGGAAGGGCTGGATTGTGGGACTAGGAGCCAATAAGAGTAGCAGCATGCAAATATGCTGATAAAGACCATGCTGGGTTAACCACTTGCAAACCACACTATAGCCTAATGATGGCTACAGCGCGGTTATCCAGTTCTGGGAGGGTGTCATGTGACATCCTACCAGAACGTGCCCTACCGCGTGACCCCGGTGATGTGGTAAAAGGCCAATCACAGTGGCCTTTTACCACGTGATCAGCTGTGTTTCAATGACAGAGCAGATCACTGGGTAAATGCAATTGCCGGTTATCAGCTGCACTTTCTTCACGCTGTCACAGCGTGAGAAACAGTACTGCCAATTATTAGAAAACAGACCGGCACTGATCATCAGAGCACCTGATCATCAGTGCCCTGATGATCAGTGCCCAGCAGTGCCACCACCTGTGCCCGGCAGTGCAGCCTCATCAAATGCACATCATGAAGGAGAAAAATTACCTAATTGCAAAATTTTATAATAGAAACAAAGATAAAAACTTTTGTTTTCAAATTTTTTGCTTTTTTTTTTTGTTTATAGTGTAAAAAAAATAAAAACACCCAGTGGAGATTAAATATCACCAAAAGAAAGTTCTATTTGTGTGAAAAAAATGATAAAAACTTCATATGGGTACAATGTTGCATGACCGTGGCAATTGTCATTCAAAGCGTGACAACCTGAAAGCTGAAAATTGGCCTGGGCAGGAAGGGGGGTATAAGTGCCCGGAAGGCAAGTGGTTAAAGTGATATTAAAATGTTTTTTTTTTTTTAATATATAATACTTGCATGCTCTGTGCAGTGGTTTTGCATAGAGCAGCCCTGATCCTCCTCTTCTCGGCCCCACCCCCCCCAACTCTCTCTCACTGGCTGTGGTTGACAGGATGTGGGAACCAATGGTCACTTGCTGCTGTGTCTCAGCCAATGGAAACGAGACAAAAAAAAGAGAATTTAGAGAAAAAAAACAAAAAAGAGGGCACGAAGAGCGGAAAAAGCGGGGGCAAACAGAGCGCAAAAAACGGCAAAAAGACAAAAGAAACGAGAGAAAGGAAAAGGGGAAGGAGAGAGAGAAAAAGGCGAAGGGAGAGAGAGAGAGGAGACGATGGGGGAGAGAGAAGAGGGGAGAGGGGAGAAAAGGAGAGAAAAGAGGAGAAAAGGAA